AGCCAATAACACATTTGCAATGGGAACACGCACAATACATTTACAAAATGTGTTATTCATTTGATATGTTGAGTTTCCCCCTGAGATTTAATACTAATATTCTGTTATTAAGAAAATTATAGGCCAGATAATAGTCAGAGTTAAAAACCCATTTCAATACTTGATATATACTTCTTAACCTATTGCCCAAATTTGAAAAGGATTATGCCTCATTTTAATGTGTGTGCCCCTTTGAAAACAAAGCAAACTAATATTTTAAATTTTATAGGTTAATTGCCAGTTGTTTTTTCTCTTAGTTGAGTGTTAAGATGAAGAATGTAACTATAGGATTGTTTTAAAACATGATGGCTTAAGGTCAAAGAGTTCTTATTCTTTCCTTTCAATCACAAGTTTCTTGTTTCAAAGAAAGTTGCCAAACCCGTGGCTTTATTTATAGCTTAGCAACACTACTAAATAGGAAGTCCACTCTCATTTTGTTGGCAGTTGTGATGGTCACATGGCATAAGCTACCCAACTGGAGAAAAGTTTTGAACAAATGTACTCTAGCAAACCTGAGATAACCTTGGTTTTAGTTAAAAATACCACTACTGGTATTTAATTGCTTGGGATAATAAAAAAGTAGTCACTATTTCCAGGCTCTATTTATGTCTTGGGTAGGTTCCCAAGGTAAAGTTGTGGATGATTTCACGATTATTATACCAAACGTTCCAAACCAACAAAAGAGCAGCCTTTTGAAAACATGGGTATATCTAACCTAAGTAGGTCCCCCCCCCCCTGTTTCCCATCTTCGCATTATGGTGTAATTTGTTAAAGTAATGCAGGAACTGATGCCCTTATGCTAGCAATCAAAAGTTGCTTCTTTTTATAATTACAGTAGTAAAACTCAAAAACAACTACATTCTTCTTCCTTTGTTGCAAACTGGCTATTTTTAGGTGCAACAGGAAAAATGCAAATGCATGAACTTCTAATTTGACAAAGACTGTATACCCTGGCAAATTGATCCATAAGATCACCCTATCAGCTTCTAAGATGGCAATGGCGACGTACACATGGGCCTCTGTTCCTCAAGAAAAAATGGTCAACAAAGAACTTTTGATATTTAAGAGGGAGAGGGGACTCTCCAAAATAGAACCATTGTTGAATGATGCCACTGTGGCAGACGTTTCAACCTCGTAATGACCTCTCCTCTTCCTTTCTGCCCTACAGCAAATGACTCTTCTTACTGCTCCAAATTTAAGACATGAAGAATGCACATCTGCAATAAGGTCTAAACACAAAAGGAACCAGGATTCTGGGCACAATCACACTTTTTATCTGTTCATACAAACACTACTCTTCCACAGGAAGGAGCCATCAGGACTTTTAATTTTTTTAAAATCAAATTCTCCAGTCAATAATATATTTTACACTTTTAAAATAGAATTTCTCTCATTTTCTAGTTGTCAAGAGAAGTCTCTCCCACCAACTGTCTTTCAAGTCAACTAAACTGGTGATATTTAAACCAACTCTGTATGTAGTGAAATCTCCATTTCAATTCATGAAAGTTACCCTCTCCCAAAGACCAAAAAATTATTCTTGTCACTTTCCTATGAGCAAGGGGGGGGGGGGGGAGAGACTGCTATGCTTTAACAAACCAGTAGAGGACACTCATTAGTAGGTCAATCAAGTTCCATTCCTATCTTATTACTCTGCAGTTTTTAAGTTTCTCTAACATAAAAGGTCAAGAATCCTAGTACATGCTTCAGACAGATATCACCAACATGAAACAGAACTTGGTTAACAGAATCAAGAAAAGTGGGGGAAACTAACAATGGAGATTATCGTGCTTTCTACACTCTCTATACTTAAGTGACTGTAGAAACAAACTTGTTTTAAAAACAGCACACACACACACATGGCAGTAAAAAGCATAAAATCAACAATAAATTGCATTCATAAAAAGCATCACAAATTCTGCAGCCACAAACTGCATAATGTTGATGCGATGTCAAAATTTCTATGCTATTTCAGAGGTTTTAATGCTGCCATATCCAATGAGACATCACCAGCCTCCATGGCTTTTAAAAGCTGAAACACGGGAGTGATTAGTGCAGAATCTAAGTATTCACTTGGATAAAATGTTGAGTTGTTAGGTAACTCAAATTCTTTGGACCCAGTTTCACGAGTCACCTTTTAATCAGTGGTGTAAGCACAATCATGATTTCTGCTCTAACGTAGTATGAGAACAATGGAGTAGGCCCAAGAACCATTCCTGAATCACCCCCCTTTTCTTTCCCACCACACACTGGTATGTGACAGCTTCAGTGAGGGATTTGTGAAAGGGTCCTCTGATTACCGTAGGTGACGCCTGATGGGAACTCTTGGTAACGAGAGTCTCCGTGACAGTACATTAGAAGTCTTTAAAAACAACAGCAACAGGAAGTCTTTAAATGCACGGAAATTGGGAAGTTTAATATCGAGAAGGCTCTTGGGAGTAGGATTTTCAGAAGTATCCAGGGTTAACCTAATTCTGATCCTAATGAAATTATATAGAGTTATTTTAAGACCGGCTTCATGCTAGCTCTCTGTTGTGGAGTCTGCAACCATTTTAAAAGGGGACATAAAACACTCCTCTGTTTACCTGCACTGGTGCCTGCACCGGTTGTGAGGTCCCCACCCATCAGGCCACCTAGGAGAAGACAAATAAAATAGTCAAATGGAGAGAGGAGCTGAAATAAACCACAAAGGTCAAACAGAAATTACAGCCTGCTCCTCAAAGCAATGCAAACCCTAGCAGAGTTCCTACCACTTATAAAGATCAGGCTGCTTGAGCCATGCTGACTTCTATCTACATACGTGTAAGCAGATCCATTTCCTCTCGAACTGCACAGACATTCTGTCAATAATAATAGTAATAATACCCTGAGCAAGTGATGGTTTATATTTCATATTTGCTTAAACTTTAGCATCATCTGGACAGCAAGAGTAAAATGGAGTTTGTTGCTTCTGTTGCCTGATGATAAACCCATTTACTTGAGAATAAGTAGTATTTTGTTACAGAAAAGGGTGCTGTTAAAAATAATGGCAAAAACAGGTGCCCAAATTAGTATTTTTACTTTCAAAATAACATGTGCATCCATAACTGTGTTTAGGTCTGGGCAGCCACCCCCGATAACTCCAAAATGTGTTTTTTTTTTTTTTAAAAATAAGAAGCAAGAAATTATGCTGCAGTGAGCAGCATCAGGCTTAGCAAGGCTCAGCAGGCCCACAGCAGCCCTGGTGCCAATGTGAGGCTGGTTCGCTGCTGCTTCATAATCTACATGCCACTCACAACTTTTCCAGTCTAGCAAATTAACACTCAGGTGGTGCAAATGCAGTGAAAATGTCAAGCAACCACCAATTATACATATGAGATGGCTCTTTACAATGCCATGGCATACCTAAGGTGATGTCTTCAGCCTTGGAACCCTGAGCACCCACAAGAGTACAAGGGACAACCTGTTGCAGGACTGCTCAGTGCTAGGAAACCTCCCTGCCCAGTGACTATAGAAAATCCCAGCTTCAATCCCTCATAGAGTTACATAATCTTAGAGCTGGAAGGGACACAAGGGTCATCTAGTCCAACACCCTGAAATGCAAGACATTTCAATATTTTGTTTTTGTTCTGCCTTTTTAAAAAGCATATCAGGTACCAGGGATGGGAAAGGCTTTGGCCTGAAACCTTGGAGAACTGCTGCCTATCAAATTGACAGTGCTGAGTTAGATGGGCAGCTTCCTTTGCTCATGTTTCCCAGTCCCACAAAATGCACAGTTATGACACTTTAGGATGCCAGCTGCACATTAGGGTTAGGATCCAAACAGCTCTTTAGGGGACTCAAGTGTTTTGCATGTGTACTGTGAATTCGCATTACACCCCCTAATGGCATCATCAGACTCCTGCATGACCGGAGTGCATGACATCAGGAACAACAGGGAGCAAATCCTGTGTTGTCAAAGTCTTACAAAGACATACTGGAAGTACTTCCCTTAACACCTTTCCAACAAATGGTGGTGTATTTTTGCATGACATTCTTGGTATTTTCGCAAGCATCAATGGCTTGTTTTTTCTACTACCTTCCTTACGGTGGAGACCTTGCTTGACTTTTCTGAGGTCAACACGCTTAAGGCTGACTCTGCTTCAATCAGACGGAGTGAAGGATCCTAATCCTTATTTATCCTACTTACAGGTGATCCTACACCTGGGTGGATGGCAACGTCTTGCTTGTACAGTGAGACAAACAAGCCAGGAGTTCAAACAATACATCACCATCAGTGAGATTCTAATGACCTGACACATTATCACAAAGGCTGCTTTTAGCCTCTTAACTGTGGAGTCAAATGACCTATTTTGCCAGCAAGGATTAACCTCTCCCGCTACTTCCAACTCATTTCCCAGTTTTTTCTTCTATGAAAGAAGATGTGTAGCTTTTTAATGACATGACGACAAATGGGCCTAGATTCAGAGCCTACTTTTTGAAACAGTCTTTAATAGGACAACAGTAGGGTAAAAAATATTTATTGTCAGAAGCCTATAGGCACGTTCTAAAGAGAACCATTTTACTTCATGTTCGTGAACAAGTTACCACATGAATATTCATTCGTTTAGTTGGGTGTCACACAAACATTCCCAGTAGCTTGAGTCCATTAATTCTCTTCATATTAAAAACATTGTCTTCTTTATATTAATTATCTTTAATTTCACAAAGAATTTAGCACTTTTTAGAATTTAACTTTACTTCTTTTTAAATGAAAATTCTGAGAAATGATCTCAGTACTGTCTATACCAGGGTTTCCCAAACTTGGGTCTCCAGCTGTTTTTGGACTACAGTTCCCATCATCTCTGACCACTGGTTCTGCTAGCAAGGGATGATGGGAGTTGTAGTCCACAAACAACTGAAGGCCCAAGTTTAGGAAAACCTGGTGCACTCCACCTGGCAGCAATTCTTCAGGATTTCAGACACGAGTCTCTCTTCGTCCAACCTGGAGATGGCAGGGATTGAACCTGGGCTATTCCGAAAGCAAAGCAGATACTCTACCACTAAGCTACAGCCCTTTTCCAAACTTAAAAGTGAAGAAATAGGATTGGGTAGTGCCTTACCTGTGTTTCCTGCACTCGGTGGCCGGTGTGTCACACCAGGAGACATGCTATTCCGCTGTAAGGAAGGGTGGGCCAGAGGCAACAGGTTGGGGTTACCCAATGAGCTTACAGGGTTGCTGTATACCAAGCTGTTGTGATTGGACACTGGGATAGAAACTGGCATCTCAAAGTTAGGTGGTGGAACAGCCTGTACAAGAGGAAGGGGGGAGGAGGAGGAAACAAAAGACAAGAATAGTAAGGAGGCACAACAGTCTCAGAGAACACTTATGCTACATTTAGTGCAAATATGTTGTAACCACTGGTTAAAAGAACACAGAAAAGAGTCAGGAACATGAAATGTCACTACCAGCAAGCTTTTAACCTCTGAGGCAGCAATCCTGTACGACTAACTCATGAGCATGTTCCGTTGAACACAGTGGGACTTACTCTGAGTAAACCCGCACAGCATTGAACTTTGAGAAAAGCCTTTTTAAAATGCTTAATGGATCGTGAATTAATATTTATTTTCTCCCCAAACACCCATCTCCTATTTCTACATTTCCTTTGTATTGAAAGACTGGAGAGGTCTTTCCTCTCACAGTTCTGTTTAAAAGAAAACCCTGTTTCATTAAGTTTCAATTTTTAGCTTTCTTCCATTCACTGAAATTGTAATTGCTTACTTGCGGCATCTTGATATGGTGTCATAGAAGAATGTGGATCAAAGACACTTGATTACGATGACTTCACTTTACAGAGAAATATTAGAAGGGTGAGGAATGCAAAAGGGAAGCTTTTTGCTTCGGTCTCAAGAATCTTAGAAGCTTGGGATTATGATCAGCTTTGTGAAAGGGACAAGTATATTGCATTCTTTCTTCTTCTTTTTGCAAAATGTATTCACTTTGCTTGATCTCCATGAATGTATCAGGACAAATACAGATTTTAAAAAACAAAGTAACACTCATGGAGACAATGGGTTGTATCCAACTAAATTCTAGGTCCATTGAAATTACTGGCCTCAATTTAGTCATGTTCATTAATTTCAGTGGGTCTAGAACTAACATTGCCTGCAACCCATATATGTGAAAAAACAACATATTGGCTTGGCTCCTAAGCTCCCATGAGTGGACCTCTGCTCACAGAAAGCTGTTTTTGGAGGAAGAGGTGGAGAGGAGGCAGTATTTTTTGTCTGTTCTCCCCACCCCACAAATATGATCCAAAGGGTTGGACAATCTTTGACAGTGGAGGTAGTGGTGGCTGCTGTAGGGGAAAAGAAAAATGACAAAAATCAACTTCCTCATCCTACCCGTGGAGGCATCTATTGGACCAAAACTCTTCAGTGAATAGGATAGAGGTGAATTCTTCCTCTGGGAAGAATTGAATCTGTGATGTCACAGAGCTGAAAGTGTTTGACCCTGGAGAAATTTGTTCATTTAAAAAGAACATAGTGGTGAGTCCAGAGCTGTAATACAGGGCTAGGAATACACTTTCCCCCTGCAAGATAGGATAATGATACTTGTCAGGGAACTGCCATCGGAAGGAAGGGAGGTGAAAGGACTCAGACAGGTTGGAAGAGATTCAGCAGCTGAAGAGGGAACCAGCAAGGGGAGAGAAGCTGAACTGAGGGAGGTGAAAGGGCTCAGACAGGTTGGAAGAGACTCAGCAGCGGAACAGGAAACCAGTAGGGGAGAGAAGCTGAACTGAGGGAAAGGGAGCTGGGGGATGGCTCAGAGATACTTCCAGCGAAAACAGTGGTGAGGTTTCCGGACCTCCTGTAGCGACACCCACTCCTCGCCGGAAACTGTCACGCAGAGAGTCCAGAAGACGTGTTTCCGTTAAGGAGCTTTTATGTTGGAAGCGATTACGAAAGCAACCACTGTCGGAATCTTCTAGTGACTAGAGGAGCCATGTCAGAGGGCTCAGTCACAGACAGAGGTTTGTGGACTTGAACAAACTCTGAGGGAATACGATTTTACGCACAAGCAGCTCATAATCCCATCACAGCATTCCGACAGTCTTTGAACGCAGCTTGTGCAGGAGAAGGCGTAATGAGCAACCCAGCAGGAACCGGAGAAGCAGGGGCTGGAGCGGGTCCAAGCCTGGAAGAAAGGTACCGGGTGTTGGAGGTCCAGCTGGCGCTGCAGACGGCGAGGCTGGAGGAGAGGAGGGCGCAAGATGCAGACACAAGGGAGAAAGCCACCCAGCTCGCCAGAAAGGTACCAGGATTGGTGCAGAAATTTGGGGGGGAGCCCAAAGACTATCATAGCTTTCGGACAGAAATGCAATATGCCCTCAATCTGCAGTTTGATGATTTCCCTGATGAGGAATCACGAGTGGCTTTTGTGATTGGGCATCTTGAAAAGGGGCGAGAGACTGGGTGAGACCCCTGATGGCAGCGCATAGTGACGTCCTAAAGGACACAATGAAGTTCTTTCGCGCCATGGATTTGATGTTTTCCAGCGATATTGAAAAGGGAGTGGTGCGCAGACAGTTAATGGCTTGCAAACAGGGAGCCGATCTGTACGTGAGTACTGGACTGAGTTCACCATGCTGATACACAGATTGGGGTGGGACTTATCGGCGGAACCCATTCAAATGCTCTTTGAAGAAGGGCTTTCTTCGGCTGTGAAAGATGAACTTTCCCGGGCGCCCAGGGCGGAGTCTATGGACCAGCTGACCAAATCAGCGCTGGCCATAGGAGGCGCGCCAGGAGCGAGAGCATTGGAGAGGCGGGAAGGGAAGGGGAACGTTGGAAGGAGTTCCGCATTCCAGACATTCCAGAGCCAACTGTCCCGCCGGCAGAGCCGATGGAAATCGGAACAGCGCGCGCGCGCAGTTTCAAAGCCCAGTGAGGGGAAAGAAGGATGGAAAAGGCGCCCGGAAATGCTATCTCTGCCAACAGCCAGGGCACTTTGCCAGAGTCTGCCCCCAGAGGAAGGAATGGCAAGGGATGGTGGGAGCTGTGGAGGGAAGAGAGGAAAAAATACCGGAGCAACTAAAAGCCAACGCCTGGCTGCCATTGTCGGGGCACAGCAGCCAGGCCAAAGAGCAGTGAAAGTGCCCACTCCAGAACCTCCTAAACCCGCCCTAGTGATAGAAGTGACACTAGAGCTGCCAAACGGACACCCTCTAAAGATTAAGGCGCTGTTGGACTCAGGCAGCTCCTGCAATTTCATGAGCAAAGAGTTTGCAGCTGAACACCAGATACAGACGCTCCCTTTAAGCAACCCCCTGCAGGTAACCACGATCGATGGCAGGGAGCTGTTGGGAGGAGAAGTCAGCTTGCAGACCGTCCCAATGATAATGAAGGTGGCAAGGCACACCGAACTAATAGCATTTAATGTGGCCACCTTGGGAGGAGCTCCCATTATATTGGGGATGAGCTGGCTAGCGTTACATGATCCGCTGGTGGGCTGGCATCAAAGAGTGGTTTCTTTTGGGTCAGCACATTGCTTAGAACATTGCAAAGAGGGAAGGGTTTTGGCAGGGGCCCAAGCCACTCTAGCAGGGACTGAAGTGACGGAGAACGTGAAGGTACCACGACAATACGCAGATCTCCGCGACGTTTTCAGCGAAAGGAAGCTGACCAACTACCACCGCATAGAGCCTTTGACTGTCAAATCAATTTGCTCCCTGGGGCACAGCTCCCTGTAGGCAAGCTGTACGCCATGTCAGACAGAGAGATGCAGGAGCTAAGAGAGTTCATTGACAAGAACCTGAAGAGAGGGTTCATCAGAGAGTCCAGGGCGGTGGGGGCAGCCCAGTGTTTTTGTGGACAAAAAAACACGAACAAGCCGAGACTGGTGTGTGACTTCAGGGCCTTAAATGCAGTGTCAGAACCAGTGGCCTTCCCGATGCCCAGGATTGACGACATTTTGACAAGGGTGCGGAAGGGAAAGATTTTTACCAAGCTGGATCTAAGGGGGGCGTACAACCTGATACGAATAAGGAAGGGGGATGAATGGAAAACCACCATGTTCACCCCTTTAGGGGCATTTGAATACTTAGTTATGCCCTTCGGTCTACAAGCAGGCTCCGCAACATTTCAATCGTTTATGAACCACGTCCTGGGGCCGTTGCTTTACAAGAATTGTGTGGCCTTCTTAGACGACGTGTTGGTGTATTCTGAGAATGAGGAGCAGCATGTGAGAGACGTCAGAGAAGTGTTGAGCAGGCTGCAAGCCAGCCTGCTGTGGGTGAAACTGGAGAAGTGTCAGTTTCATACCAAGGAGGTGGAATTCCTGGGGTATCGCCTGTCTGACAAGGGGTTGGCCATGGATCCCGACAAGGTCCAGGCGGTACTGGAATGGAAAACACCCAAAACAAGGAAGGATGTGCAGAGGTTTTTAGGGTTTGGGAACTTCTATCGTAAGTTCATCCCAAACTTTGCCCACCTGACGGCGCCCATTACGGACTGTCTCAGCAGTAAGAAGAAGTTCGTTTGGACGGAGGAGGCGGAGCAAGCATTTGAGGAACGAAAAAGGGCCTTCGCCTCGGAACAACAGCTCCTGCATGTGGATTTACAAAAACCGATGAGAGTGGAAACTGACGCATCAGACAGAGCGGTTGGGGCGGTGCTTCTCCAGCCAGGGAAGGAGGAGTCAGAGTGGAGACCGTGTGCTTTTTTCGCGAAAGCTGAACAAATCCGAGAGGAACTACACGGTGTATGACCGAGAACTACTAGCCATTCATGAGGCGTTCCGGAGATGGAGGCACCTGCTAATTGGCGCACAACATAAGGTGCAAGTGTGCACTGACCACAAGAACCTAGAGTATTGGAGGACGGCACGAGTGCTCAACCAACGGCAAGTGAGATGGGCCCAGGAATTCTCCAAATTTAACTTTGAGATTTGTTACGTGCCAGGCCCAGAGAACATTAGGGCGGACGCTCTCTCACGCAAACCTGAATATTGGGAGGGGAGGGAGCACCCGAAGAGAGACATGTCATTCCAGAGGACCGCTGGGTGTGTGGGGCG